GGTGGGAGGTGCAAAAATAAACAGCTGAGCACCCTGCAAACGAAAACAACAGCAACAAGGGGATGGATCTGTACCGAAAGGTCAAAATCAGGAGTATCAGGCCCGAAATATTCAGTGGAGCCCCTGATTAATCATCAAGGTTGCTGGCTCTCTTCCTCTTTTTGTGCTTTTGTGCCTCCTTTGCCTCGCGCTTTCGCTTCTGGGAGTCATTTCAGTTGATAGGTTGCCGAAGCTTGGTCATGTTTTTTCGCCATAGCCTCGTCATGGCGTTTCTGAATAGTGAGGCAAAGTAAGGTATATAGATGAGTGGCAATAATTTCATGTATGGCGCACAGACTGTTGAACTTACCTGCAGCATTTCAACAAATTGGTATCAATTTCAACCAACTTGTCTAAGATTCGTCTCTCGGTTGATCATGACCTCTTCCTTGACCTCCATCAAACATGTCAACTGCCTTCAAGCAACCCACCCACAAAACCTTTCTGGCCAGAACCATTATCAGAGTATTTTCCCTTGAAGCGAAAAGTACTGCGTTCCTTGCTGCTGTATGTAGGGTAGTTTCCTTGGCCCCCTTCTTCATAGCGCCACTTGTATATTTCAGTCCACCTCTTGTGGCAATTGTCAAAGACCACGTAGACAAATGCTTCAGTGCCAGCTGGAATCTGATTAACTCCATCAACTTCATGAGTATTGGGGCATACGGTCCGGCTATGCTTCTCACCGTAAACATTGCTTTGAGGTAAAAAACAAAAGGCAAAGCTGAGAATCATGACTAAATATATCTGAATTCAATCTCAAATATTCTGCTTTGTACTTACGCGCCAGCCACAATAGGAAGCAACTGGTTGAGATACAGCTCCAAAATCTCCAGGTTGTAAACCTCCTTGTCTGTTTGCGGATCCCCATCAGGAATGTCAACAGTCAAATCACGGAGCATTATCTTCTTGATTGCTACAAGAGTGGGAAGTGGACGTGTGTTAACTGGTTTGCCATTCGCAACACCCTCTCCTTCCATCCATTCAAGAGCCCGCTGTCTCATCTCTGTGCAGATGTTGCTTCGAAGAGTGTTGATGGCCGCAACAAGGGTGGGAGTGTAAAGTCGGATAAATTCTTTACGACTTTCCGATGGGGCATTAGAATCAGCCGTCATTCAGGAGCAAAGCCAAGCAATCATGAGGCAACACAGTTAGTGAACTGCCTTAAATCTCCCAAAGCAAAGCAAGCAATCATGAGCAAAGCACTGACCATTATCTCCGCTTTCTCTGTTTCCAACTCGTCGCCCTTAAACTGGGTCCCGGGAAGCATCAGGACATCATCAAGCAGCTGCTCCGTCAGAGCTTCAGCCTGCTTCCAGTCATCAAGAAATTTACACCGACGCAAGGTAACCCGCCTTGTTTTCTTTTGCACCTGCCCAGCAATGGCATCGTTTGCTGCTTCTTCAACTCTTTTTTAGAAAGTTTTCCTCCACTTCGAGCACCTGGACAGAAAAACATAAAAATGGTGAGGGTATTATCTCTCTCTTTTTCCCCCACAACTTTCCGAAACTGTACATTCTTGACCTTTTGTTGGGACCTTGCTTATTAGTGGTGCTGTTTTTGGTTGCACGTGGAATGCACATCTGTACAAGGCCCCGTATTTTAAGCATGTGTTGTCATGATATGTTATTTTCCATGACCCGTTCCCACTACGTTTTAAATCCTAATTCTCTCCTAGTATGTTATTATTTCAACTCTATTTTTCTTCTAATTCTGTAGTCTACGGTTCTTACCATTCTGTATTGCGCACGGCCTGATCTCAACAGAATAGTCCTGATCACGAGGAAGGTCAGCCACTTAGCAATTTTCTGGCAGTGGCTTTCTGCCGAAATTACACAGTTCACATGACAAACACCTTCTGAATTGAAGAACGTAGGCAGAAAGCTGGCTGCCTGACAAGTTGCTAAGTGGCTTGCTTTCGTCCTGATTCTAGATTTCTGTTCTGTGCTGGAATCCAAGCTTCACCTTCTGAATTGGGGGAAAAGGTCCATATTGCTACCTTGGACATAATCCTTTGTAAGACGAGACCATGTCTATGTCAAATTTTGACCTACTACTGTTTGCCCCTTATCTTGACCAAAGGTCATATCAGGCTTCTTAGACGGCGGCCAAAGAACGTCTTGTCGGACTGTTCTCGCATAATCACCACGTCGTCATTCTTCCAACGACCACTGGCAATGCTCACAAAGCGGTGCAACACCACAATCCCGACATGGGCAAATGTCCAACCGGCAAATGCCAACAGGGCGGCTGGTGCAGAGCTTGGATCCAAAGGCATTGCTCCTGGTGAACTTTTGCAAAAGTAAGTAGAGGTACCGTACGTCAATGGAAGGAGAAGAAAAAATGAGCCTCCCAGAATCCAAAGGCCCTGTCTTCGTCATTCAATCGTGTTGTTTGGATCTTTCTGTCACGACTCAAAAGATATCCGAGTACCAGAACGCATTGCGCCGCTCAAGATGCCCGACGAGAAGGGGGTTTTAGAGCTTCTTTCCTCTGTGGTACCGGTAGTCGTAAAGGTTCAGATTGCAGGAGATGGAGTGACACCTGGAGCTTCGCTCCGTGGAAAGTGGTGGCTGGGTCTGCCGCTCACAGCAATCTGACCTTGCCCCACCACGTTTACTAACTACCTAGAGGATCGCAAGGCTGTCATGAAGTCTGTGACATGTCTTGAGCAACATAAATTTGGTCAGTTTGCTTTCTGGCAACCACAATAGTACAGTAGTTGTGGGGCCTACTAGTAGATTCTAAACGAGGATCTATGAAGCCAAGCCTCCTATGGCTATAGGTGCGACAGATCTATCAAGCACCGGTTCTTGCAACCTCAAAAGCAAATCAGAGCGTGCCTCTCCATTTCACTCAGCAAGGACAGTCACAACCACAAAGCAACTCTGTGCAGTCAAAACTTAGCCCATGAAGCCCCTCACAATGACCCAACAAATCAAAGGTACAGGTGCCATTGATGGTGCAAAGTGGCTCTGGAATTGCTCCAGAAAGCAGAGGAATTCCCTCAACACGGAAGCTGTAGAGCAGTGACTGAAGAGAAACCAGCTCCTCTGGTATAGTTCCACTGAGAAAATTGTTTTGCAGATCAAGCCTGCCAAGGGATGTCATGAGACCAAGTTCAGAAGGGATCCCACCTGTAAATTGGTTTTCACCCAGGTCGAGTATGGCTAAGTTGGAAATGTTGGAGAGGTCACTCGGAATGGTACCAAATAGCTGGTTCGAGTCAAGAACCATAGTTTGTAGAGACATAAGCAGGCCGAGTTCAGTTGGAACAGTGCCCGTAATTGAACCCCACCTGAGATCCAAAATGTAGAGTGAAGAAAGAAGGCCAAGCTCTGTGGGAACAGCCCCTTGTAGACCATAAGCCGAAAGCATCCAAAGTCTTGAGAGAGCACCAAGCTCACTTGCTACTGTGCCGGTGATTCTACTTTCAACTGAGACCAACCATTCTAAGGATGTAGCTTGACCTAGCTCTGTTGGAAGGGTTCCTTGCCCAATAAGAAATTAGAAGAGTTAGTGGTTCACTGGAAGCAGCTGCTACTGCTAACATTGACATGCAATTTGACAAAGCCTTACCAGAAAAATCCACTCCATCCACCACTAAGTGTCTTAACTTCCGGAGAGTCCCCACAATTGAAGGAATAGTTCCTTGTAGTTTGGCGTTTCGTCCAAGCATAAGAGTGTCCAGATTGGTAAGTTGCCAGATTCCATTTGGGATGGACCCTTCCAGCTGGTTGTCATAAAATACAATGATCTGCAGGGAGGACAAATTGCCCACTTCCCTTGGTACTGATCCTGATAGCCCTGTGGAGAAAATGGCAAGTCCCTGCAGGTCGCTGAGCTGACCAATGCGGCTGGAAATTGTCCCATGTAGTTGGTTAAACCCAGCTGATAGTGTTTGGATGGAGGTCAAACCATAAAGTTCCTCAACCAGAGGACCCACAAGATTGTTTTGGTCCAACCACAGATGCTGATAGAAGCCCTGGTCATCGCAATGACTGACAGGTGGAGGCACCAAAAAACCTGAGAGAAAACCAGGGTATAATGGTTGAAGAAGTGTTTTGAGAGCAAACTCTTGGTTTTGATACCATTGACATTCATGTAGACTGTAGCTTCCCCATCCTGTGTTGTTGGTCCATTTAGTTGGACCAGCAGTGGCATAAAACAGGGTCATTAGGGCATGCCTCTGGATAATCCGCCGGTCTGGATAGTCATAGACACGCGGATCATCAAGCAGCCATTCAAATGCCTCATATTGTGGAGAATCTTTGTCTTCCACTGCCTTGACAGTATGATCTGGTAGCAAGGATAGAATGAAAGAATCCAGTGACGTTGGGGCCATTGATGGAACTGCCGTTGGGTTGTTGGTTGGCTTGGATTGATTTGTGCTTTGTTCAAGGAATACAATCAACAGCACAATCCCTCCTATGAATGCAAGCCCAAAACATATGCATAGTGCAACCAAAGCAGTGTCCTTTTGTCTTCCTGTGGTATAGCTTTCTATTGATGGTCTGGCCTGAGGAAGAGTGCCGGGGTCCACTTCCTCAACAGAATTGGCAACTGCCAGAACATTTTGTCCCGAGGCATGAATCCTTTGTTGGTCATGGTTGTCCCCCCAATCAAAACCTTCCAGGCTATTTGCATTTGCTTCCTCTGCTGTCCTGATCAAAGTTCCACGTTCAATCGAGTATGCACCGGGTGTCACTTCGTCTGGTTCAGCAACAGTTTGTTGGGTTTCTGGCAGCCTCATTGGTTCATGACCATTTCCTGTGGCAGATCCATTGAGTTTGCTCCCGCGAGGGGATGATTCAACCTCGTCACAATCAACATCAAATGTTGAACTTGAAGGGCTTCTTGCTTTCTCTTTGCCAAAGAAAGTTAGTGTGGCAGGTGCAGCAATAGTCAAGCCATGAGTTGGTTCCTCTTGATCAAGAAAATCACCGAAGCCAGGAAGAGAACCACAGTACCAAAATCCAGGAGCTGTTTCTTCATCTGCCATTAGATCATCAGCAGAGCATTCCCTTGCTTGTGAATTCTTGTCTTCGTCCATCATATTCGTTGTTGCTGGTGCCTTCTGTGGGCTTTTTTGGCAGGCCGCAACAACCCTTTCGCCCTTCCTTGCTTCCTGGTTGCCCACGGTCTGGTAGCGTTATAGTTGGTTACATTGAGGGCCAAGAGCGGTCCAAGCACTACTATTAAAAGCCTCCACGGATTAAGATTGATTCGATTCGGAGATCACTTCAAGTTGCCTTCACTCTGGAGTACAGTGTACTCAACAGTAGATCAAAATAATTAAAGGACAAGTATCTATGCCTAACAAACCCGTATGGAAATTTTAGCGTGATCGGTACCAAAGGTTGCTGTAGCTTGTAGGCTGTACCGGTAGGGTACATCGTCACACAGAACAGATCCCAGATCCCTTCATCCTCCACAACTCCACAATGGCGTCGAACGTCGAAAGTCGAACGGCAACAGTACCGGTAGCAGCCCGCGACGAACCGGAAGTCAACTCCTCTACGGCGGCATGGGCTCCTCTTGTTTGGATGGCTGGAAACAGCGGCAGCGACAGCGACGGATCTCGGCCGATGGCTTCTTCCATTCATGATTATCTCGAGCTTTTCATTGCGATCCTATTATCCTCGACAATAGCGTGAAACGGCAACAGTAGCGGAGCTGCAGCTGCTTCTACTAGCATATCACCACCATGACAGACTGCTCTTGTTCAAGCGACGACCTCGTTCGAGGCGCGAGGCGATCGACTAAGTGCTTCCACGGATCTTCTTCCTCTTTCACTGAGCGACAATGGCTTCCATTCGATGACACGCAGCTACCGCGGAGCGATCATGACGCGAGCCAACGACGCGAAGGTTATGGAAGATAATGGAAAGTGTAATCTTCAGCTTCTTCGATGACTTCTTCTTCCTGCTTCCACGGAGCGACCATCATGACGCCTCTAGCACTAATGCAACAAGCGGCTACCGATGTCAATTGCACCGTCCGAGCAGCAGGTTCGAAGCAGCCACCAGCCGCTACTTTCAATACCAGCAATGGCACCGACAACTTCTTCGGTCGGCGGATCGATGACTGCTTCCATTGAGCCTCTACCACACAAAAAGCCAACGACACGAAGACTTCCACTGATAATGAACGGCTACTATGGATTATCTCCTTCAACCCAACCAAAGAATGGAGTGTTCAGAATGGAGTGTTATCTTCTCCAACTCATTTTCATGGAGCCCAAGCCAGTGTCCGAGTTGGATCTGTGCACAACGTAATCTTTAAATGGAGCCATGTCAACTTCTTGAGTTAGCAATCCTTCTACTGCTGCTGCTACAAAAGCAACAGGCGGTCTCCTGAAGAATTCTTCTATCAAGCTTCTTTAGCAAGCTACGTTACAATTTCCTTAGAAACTTTGCGTTGGAGTTGGAACCTCTTGGTGGGATCCTGAAGAGGAGGGCGAGGATGTCAATGTCAACGCAGAAGCTACCAATGCTTCCAAGTGCTGTTGGATCTCCCTGATTGCATGACGACCGTGGAAGCTATCGACGGACCAACTAGATAGATATGCGACCACCACGGCGACGGAAGCAAGCCTCTAAAAAGTACTCATTTTCACCCACTTTTGGCTGTTCTAGTTCAAAGCTAAAGTCTTGGGCTACCGGTACATAGATTTGGTCAGTTGGTGGCAGCCACAATACGAGTTGTGGGGCCCACTCATAGATTCTATTACAACAAGGATGTATGAAGCCAAGCCTCCTATGGCTAAGTGCCACAGATCTATCAAGCATGGATTCTTTCAACCTAAAAAGCAACTCTTTGTGTGCCCCTCCATTTCACTCAACAAGGACAGTCACAACCACAAAACATATCTGTGCAGTCATAACTTAGCCCATGACGCCCCTCACACCTACCAAACCATTCAAAGTCACAGGTGGAATTGATGGTACAAAGGGACTCTGGAATTGCACCAGAAAGCAGAGGAATTCCCTCAACACGGAAACTGTAAAGCGACTGAAGAGAAACCAGCTCCTCTGGTATAGTTCCACTGAGAAAGTTGTGTTGCAGCTCAAGCCTGCCAAGGGATTTCATGAGACCAAGTTCAGAAGGGATCCCACCAGTTAATTGGTTTCCACCCAGGCAGAGCATATCCAAGTTGGAAAGGTTGGAGAGTTCACTGGGAATTGTACCAGATAGCCGGTTTGAATCAAACTCCAAACTTTGTAGAAGAGTAAGCAGGCCAATTTCAGATGGAACAGTGCCCGTATGTGAACCCCACCTGAGATGCAAAACGTATAGTGAAGAAAGAAGGCCAAGCGCTGTGGGAACAGCCCCTTGTAGGCCGTAAGCCACAAGCATCCAAAGTCTTGAGAGAGATGCAAGCTCACTGGGTAGTGTGCCCGTAATTCTATTTTCCGCTGAGACCAGCCATTCTAGGGATGTAGCTCGGCCCAGCTCTGTTGGAAGGGTGCCTTTTTCAATAAGAAATTAGAAGAGTCAGGGGTTCATTGGAAGCAGCTGCTACTGCCAATACTGACATGCATTTTAACAAAGCCTTACCAGAGAAATCCACTCCATCCACCACTAGGTGTCTCAACTTTGGGAGAGCCCCTACAATTGAAGGAATCGTTCCTTGTAGGTTGGTGTTTCGTGCAAGCATTAAGGTGTCTAGATTGGTAAGTTGCCAGATTCCATTCGGAATGGACCCTTCCAGCTGGTTGTCGTAAAATACAGTGATCTGCAAGGATGACAAATTACCCACTTCCTGTGGTAGTGATCCTGATAGCTCTGTGAAGAAAATGGCTAGTCCCTGCAGGTCACTGAGCTGCCCGATGTGGCTGGAAAGTGTCCCATGTAGTCGGTTAAAACCAGTCGATAGTGTTTGGATGGATGTCAAACCATAAAGTTCCTCAACCAGAGGGCCCACAAGATTGTTTTGGTCCAACCACAGATGCTGGTAGAAGCCCTGGTCATCACAATTGCTGACAGGTGGAGGCTCCAAAAAACCTGAGAGAAAACCAGGGTATAATGGTTGAAGAAGTGTTTTGAGAGCAAACTCTTGGTTTTGATACCAGTCACATTCATGTAGACTGTAGCTCCCCCATCCTGTGTTGTTGGTCCATTTAGTTGGACCGCCGGTGGCATAAAACAGGGTCATTAGAGCATGCCTCTGGATAATCCGCCAGTCTGGATAGTCATAGACATGTGGGTCATCAAGCAGCCATTCAAATGCCTCATATTGTGGAGAATCTTTGTCTTCCACTGCCTTGACAGTATGATCTGCTAGCAAGGAAAGAATGGAAGAACCCAGTGACGTTGGGGCCATTGATGGAACTGATACTGGTTGGTTGGTTGGCTTGGATTGATTTGTGTTTGGTTCAAGGAATACAATCAAGAGCACAATCCCTCCTATGAATGCAAGCCCAAAAAATACGCATAGGGCAACCAAAGGAGTGTCCTTTTGTCTTCCTGTGGAATTGCTCTCTATTGATGGTCTGGCCTGCTGAAGAGTGCTGAGGTCCACTTCCTCAACAGAATTGGCAACTGCCAGAACGTTTGGTTGGTCATGATTGTCCTCCCAAGCAAAACTATCCTGGTTGTTAGTATTTGCTTCCTCTGCTGTCCTGGCTATTCCATGCTCGACCAAGTATGCACCGGGTGTCACTTCCTCTGGTTCAGAAACAGTTTGTTGGGTTTGTGGCAGCCTCATTGGTTCATGGCCATTTCCTGTGGCAGATCCATAGCCATTGCTCCCACCGGGAGATGATTGAACCTCGTCACAATGAACATCACATGTTGATTTCGACGGGCTTTTTTCTTTCTCTTCATCAAAGAAAGTAAGTGTGACAGGTGCAGCAATAGTGAGGCCATGAGTTGGTTCCTCTTGATCAAGAAAATCACTTAAGCCAGGAAGCGAACCAAAGTACGGACACCCAGGAGCTGTTTCTTCATCTGCTGCCATGAGATCTTTTGCGGAGCATTCCTCTTCGGCGGAGCATTCCTCTTCCTCTGCTGGGGAACTATTGTCTTCATGTATCCTGTCCAGCATATTCGTTGTCACGGTGCCTTCTTGGGTCCTTTGGCAAGGTGCAGCCACCCTTCCTTCAATAGCACCCTTCCCTCTGACACTCTGACTTCGTTTTCGCCAAAAGCCAGAAGATGACTGGCTGTTCCGTGCTGTGTTGTGTGGTCCTAACAAAAGGAATTAAGAGACAGTCAATCATCCACTTAACAAACCCGTAAAGAGCAGGAGACTATTATATTAATACAGCAAAAAATTTAATATTTGGCATGATGGGTACCAAAGGGATAACGTAGAAACTGCGCAGGGTTCGTAGTTCGTGCAGCTATGGTATGGCCACGAGCTGTCCACGTGGCTTTCGTGGTCTGCGATAGGGGGGCCTGAGAAAGCAGGTTGATGTTTACTCATACTGTAGCTCCCGTATTTTAAAAATCGGACAAGCCCGAGGCGCAGATACAGATGTCGGGCCAACGTCTTGAGGGCTCCAGGCACCGGTTGCTGGCTACCGTAGCTCTACTAGATTCTGGAGAAAGCTTCACTTGAGACAATTCCAAAGGTGGTTTTCACCAATGTGCATGGCGACTTGAACTCGCGGATGCCAACTCACCCCCGGCCCAAAAGGGCCCACCGCACGCGGTACCGGTACATTGACCGAACATGTATGTCCGCGGGCAAAGGCAGCGACTGGCATCAATGCGTACAGCAGCTAGTGGGTTGAACGATGTATTTTCCCGTCATTGTTTTTGTAAATTGTAAACGCAAAAAGTTTAAAGGAATCGCTGGCAGGCGAGTTCCTTGATGAGCATGCATCCCTTGAGACTATGTAACCACCGATCCGATGGCTGCCTAGAGTAACCTCAATTTCTCGCATTGTGGTCGATACCGGTATGCCAACATCCTGGTTGCAACAGTGTCAAAGCACCCATCAAACTGCTGCATCTCCACGACGCACAGCAACGCACAGGCACTGACACATACGGTACCGTGCATCCATTTGCGTGTTCGTTCGTTTTTTCTACTGATCTTTGTTCTTTCCCTGCGGCTGTGGATTGCCACTAGTACCTTCTTTCTTGGACGATTTCTTTTTCAATATTCGTTGTTCTCGCATGGCATTGACCGCTTCCCGCGCTTGCTGTTGCAAATGCTGTACTTCTTCTTGCAGTGCGGCCGCTTGTTCTTGCATCATTTTGGAGGCCGTCTCTTGCAATATCCGTACCGTTGTTTCCGATTGCACTTGAAAAGACGATTCATCGTCGTCTTCGAGTAGATCGTCTTCCGATTCCATTTGACGCAGTGCTTGTTGGACTTCGGGACGTTGCAACAATGCCGACATGCGTCGTTCGCGTCGTGTATCGGCCACGCCCGTGGCATATTCAAATGCTTGCGCCGGAGTGTGCGGAAATATTTCTTCCATGGTGGCACCCCGGGAATAATACCGCCCCAATCGTCCGGCGGGGTTGGTCACGTAAACAGCCACGTACCAACCGATAATCATGTCAATCGAATAATGGCCGCGAGTCGCTAGCAAACGGACAATTTGAAAGACATTCAGGACGTGAATGAGATATGCCCACGGTCGAAAATATTTGGAGAGTGCCATGTGATTGCCAACCATGACCATGGTGGCGACGTGTCCGGAAAAGAAACTGACAAAGGGCATGGCTTCGGGTGCACCATCGCCGGCACTGCTGCAATCTTGAAAGATGCAATGGACAAAATCGGGAAAATCGTAGTAAGAATTGAGATACGCTGGATCGGGAGGCAGAAATGTGAACCATCCACAAAATGCTCTCAATAGTTGCAATGCCAGCAGCCGAAACGCACAACTGTAATCTCCCTTCCAGACCGTCACATAGGCGACATAGAGGGAGGGAAAGACGAGAATGACAGAATTGAGTCCAGCCAGTAGATCGTTCCAATCTCGATTGGCTTTGAGGAATTCGTAGAGTGGATACGTCATGATATAGCCCGTATCGACAATCCCGTGTGGATTGAGTGGCATGTCCTGCCAATGCCAAACTTTGGCCACATGGACCGTCATGCGAGCGTCGGCATCCATGGCATGCGTCTCGACAAATCCAATAATCGAGACGGCCACACAGCCCAGTGCCAAGAATAAAATATCACGCCATGCGGCTTTTGCTAATTGCGGGTCAATTTGGGGCAACGCGTAGTCGGGTGACAAGTGCCGCGTAAAGTAGGATCGACGATCTTCGGTAGTCGTCGTCGTCGTCGCAGTTGTTGTGAGATGGTTGCCAGACGACGAGACCGCCGCAGTCATGGTTGTAGCAGTGGCTGTGGTTTCAATGGTAGAGGATTCCACCTCGGAGTTTTTTGTGGGAGCTTTGGGTTGTGTGGTCATGGTTCTATTGCATTGAATTCTATCGGGTTTTCTGTTGTTTCTTTCTTTTGCGAGATTACAAATAAATGAGCTTTCCTTGTCTGTATCTATTCTGATGACAGCAATTGATACATCAGTGTCATCCAGTTCAGCTACCGGTATGCTAAAATAAATGGTGTGCTTCAGACCTCTGACAGCATCCGTATTTTCAATAGAAGTATCCGTGAGGTTGTTCTTGGCTCTTCACTGGACTTGAGATGTCAAAGGCTGAGTGATGCGCGATCTTTCTCATTCAATTTTTCTCCCCCTTGGAAGATCGCTTGGGTTCAGCTTTCCCTTGAAAAGTTCTAAACCAGTCCCGAAGGATCCATGAACCACCGGAACCAACCAAAACCCCGGATCGCGCCTGATGTCAGACTTGGATACAAAGAAGTCACCCAAGAGTGTCTTGGATACCCTATACTACGGATTCGGGAACAACTGTCTTTGCCCAGCCCCGGAATCCAATTGCGCCATCTTGGAAGAGGATTTTGCCCATTGGGAAGCAGATTGCGCTGCTCGGAACAAGATTCTACTTAAGGTACATTGAAGTTTGAAGGTTAGAGTTCAGTGTGGTAAACTCCCAGCAGTCGGAGAAGGCTCACGTAGGATTGTACCAGCTTCCTACAGAGGCAAGTTTTCTTCCCAGGTGCCGCAATCCGCTTCAGTACGACTGTACTGGCGCAATTCCATTCCGGCCGCAAGGACAGTTGTTTCCGAATCCGGAGTTTGATAATCTATCTGACGTGGCACCCGAACTCTAGCTTGTTTCTCCTCAGCTCCAAGTAAATTCCATTGTTTTGTTGTTGTTGTTCTACAAGGTCGATCCCTCCTGTCCTTTGAAGGCAAACCAACATGAACAACAACAACGAGAACGAATTTGGTGCGGCGGAGAGGTTTGTAGCACCCGCATTGGCTGCGGGTGGCCTCCCAGAAGCGTATGTTCAGGTAGTCATGGCAGTGCCCATGATTAACGAAAGGGCACTCTGGGAGAGCATATTCCAGTTTGTTGGAACCATTGATCAGGGTGCCAGTTCCAACCGATTCTATGGAGGGCGGGAACATGACCGATCCATGTACATGTCACTGACTGTCCAACACAATCGTCCATTCTTCCGGCCCCATGAGATTCAAGTGAATGTGTCATCCAGAGACCAAGGGTGGACATCTGAAGAAGTGGGTCTCAGAAGCCACTGCAGTGCTGTTGATCTTGTCCTCGGTCACCATGAGCGCGACTACCCGGAAAACGTCGAATGGGAAAACGCTCGTGGAAGGACCAAGGTCGTCCGGAACATTGCGGCAGGCAATGCCTGGGAGGAGACGGAGCGCACCTTCGATGAACACTCTCATATTGTTGGAGCCATGAGACAACATCTACAGAGCAATCCCCAGGAGACGGTTGGCATTTACACTATTGCTCATTATCCTGGCTGGATGTGCAAAGTGCGAAATGGAGCCCTTGTGGTCAAATGGGCACCAATTGTAGAGGAGATTTGGAATGAGGTCCAAAGCCGACACGAACAGGCCTCCCGCCGACCCCCCACCGAACACCCAAGAAAACGTTCACGAGTCGCGTGAATTTGGAAGAAAGAGAAGGCGACAGGCCTCCAAAGGCAAGGACTCGGGCGTTGACAGTCCCACCGAACCCCCAAGAAAACGTTTAAAACGAGTCGAGTCGCGTGAATTTGGAAGAAAGAGAAACTTTTAGGAAGAATGAAAACCATACTAGAATCAAATACTCAAATACTGTACTGGGTAGACAAGGATTCTTAAGAATCAGCCTATTCTTAAGAATCAGAATTTTCCAGATTCTTGGAAATTGATGATTCTTAAGAATCAGCAAATGATTCTTAAGAATCAGTTTTTTCAAAATCAGATTCTTAAGAAAAAGCTAGATGATTCTTAAGAATCAGCAATGAAAAATGCTGATTCTTAAGAATCATTGAATGGAATTTGCTGATTCTTAAGAATCCTCTCCAAATTATGATGATTCTTAAGAATCCTCAATGCAAATATGCTGAATCTTGGGAATACTTGTAAAAATCAAGAAAGACTCCATTGCAATGGTTTTGGTATGCACTAATGCATCATTACAAGGCTTGTCTTATCAGCAAACATTGTTGTTGGTTAGCAGATAGGATCAGGGGATAGCATTGCTAGCTATGAAGCCCATATTGCTAGTATATTAGGTTGCATTCTGGGTGCCTGATGATTCTTAAGAATCAGCAAAAAGAACAAAATGATTCTTGAGAATCCCCATTTTCCAGATTCCTGGCACCAGGCGCGATCTGGTGCCAGACTTGGATATCAAAAGAAGTCACCCAAGAGAGTGGAGTGTCTTGAATACCATAATAATATCTCTACTAGCTAGTATCTGTCGTGGGACCCGCACTCTAGCTTGTTTCTCCTCAGCTCCAAGTAAGTTCTACAAGGTCGATCCCTCCTGCCTTTGAAGGCAAACCAACATGAACAACAACAACGGCAACAATTTTGGCCGTGGCTTTGCCAGAGGCCGTGGTCGTCGCGGAGGTCGTGGTGGACGTGGTGGCCGTGGTGGCCGTGGTGGTCGCGGCCGCCGTAGAGGCCGTGGTGGGCCGCCGCCACCTCCCGTAGACATGGAGGACGACTTTGAAATTGAGGCTGACTATGACGGGGTCATTTCTACGGATGACGAGAACGAATCGGATGATGAGGCCCGAGCTGGTGTGGCGGAGAGGTTTGTAGCACCCGCATTGACGGCTGGCATCACCGAAGCATACATTCAGCTGGTCATGGCAGTGCCCATGATTACTGAAAAGGCGCTCTGGGAGAAGATATTCCAGTTTGTTGGGACCACTGATCAGACTGCCAGTTCCAACAGATTCTACTGGGGTCGTTATCGCGACAGATATGTGTACATGTCACTGACTGTCCAACAAAATCATCCATTCTTCCAGCCGCATGAGATTCAAGTGAATGTGTCATCCAGAGATCATTGGGGCCCGGGGGATGATGACCAAGAGGTTGTCAGAAGTGGCCACGCCAGTGCCGTTTATCTTGTCCTCGGTCACCATGAGCGTGTTTTCGTCGGAACGAATGAATCTCACTACCAGGAAAACGTTAAATGGAGAAATGCCCATGGAAGCAAGGTCGTCTCGAACATTACAGGAGGCCATGACTGGGAGGAGACGGAGCGCACCTTCGATGAACACTCTTATATTGTTGGAGCCATGAGACAACATCTACAGACCAATCCCCAGGAGACTGTTGGCATTTACACTATTTCTAATCATCAATGCTGGAGGTGCAAAGTGCGAAATGGAGCCCTTGTGGTCAAATGGGCGCCAATCGTAGAGGAGATTTGGAATGAGGTCCAAAGGCGACAGGCCCAACCATCCAAAGGCAAGGACCGGGGCATTGACAGTCCAACAAAAAAACCAAGAAAACGTTTTTAAAAAACAGAAGAAAGAGAAACTTTAGGAAGAATGAATACCTTACGTGATGCATGTTCAAAGCCTGCCCCAAGCCTGCAAGTGGCTAACTAGCTAACTAGCAATAAAAGAACTCCCGTTATCAAGTTAAAGCCCTTGCCGTAGAGGGCGATTTGTATCCACTCTAGCACTCGCAGTTTCCATTCCGTCAGCTAGCAGTCCCGAAGGATCTATAAAGCCCCTGCGAAGCCTCGTTCCATCCCTTTGTTCTTTCTGTTGTTGATGGCATGCTTGGGTTCATGGGCCACGGTCAAAAGATCGTTGTGACATGGGGGTCTGGTCTAGACTCTACTTAGTCCCGTCTATTTGAACTTTTTGCCACCAATTCTCTTCCCCCTTTCCTCCCCGTTCGGGTCCTCCCCGCTCTTTCTCAGTGCTCTAACTCGCCACCACTGATACATGTACCATGTACCCAAGCTCGGGAACAAGGGGGGTTTTAGAGTAGGGAAGTTCAAGCTACGTGTACGCTGTACGTGGCCCCCCTCACTCCTTAACCATTTATGTGCGTTTATTTTTCAACCAATTACATTGCGCTCCCCGTAAGCCCCCCACCACAGCCACCCAACACCGCAGCCACTGCTTTGCCTAGCTTCGCCCCCATCGCTCCTTCACCTATCTATTATAAATAAGGGGGGAGTAGAGTAGGGAAATTATCTACTATTTAGTATTTTTCAACCAACCACCAAAACCATCCCAATTCGTCGACCGTCAGCAGAAGCAAATTGAGTTGACAATAATGGCAAACACAGAGCAGCACGACACTGAGACAATCACAATAATGACAAAAGAAGGTGTTGGTGAAGAAGAAGCGCAGGGAGAATTGGCAGTCCAATCGTCACAACAACAAGCCAAGAAGGAATCCTCCAAGAAAGGACGTCCCATTTGTCCCCGTTGCCATCGACCGACTCCACGAGCGTGTATCTGCGAAGGTCTTCCGTCGTCTCTTATTTTGCTGAATAAATGTCACGTGTTGGTGCTGCAACATCCCCACGAGAAACGACGCAAGAATTGCAGCCTGCCGTTGTTGCAATTGTGTTTACACTCCAGCAGCATGACGGTAATTGTCGCCCGTCGATTTGGAGATCAATGTCCTCCCACTGCCATGGCTCTTTTACAGCAACAAGCCAAGAAAGTGCTGTTGATATTTCCAGAAGACGATACAGACCAAGATGACGACAGCAACAATACCCTCACGTTGACACAAGCCAGAGAGTTCTGTCGGCAAACTACTACTGCTACAAATGCATCATCATCCAAAGACAATGGTAGTAATGAAAGTGACAAAATTCTGATTGTAGTATTGGATGCCACGTGGAAATATGCACGGGAAATGGACCGGGCCAATCAACCATACTACCCCTCCCACATGAAACGGGTCGCCTTGTCCTGGGACGATCCACTGCGACCAACCACAGTACCCTTTCGATTCGATATTCGAACACCACCCAGTCAAGTCCATCTGAGTACGGCCGAATGCATTGCCTGGGTACTCTCGGCTTTGGAAGACGAATCCTCCAAGGACAACCAGTCGCATAATATGTTGTATTCCAATCTCATGAAACCACTGGATTGCATGGTACAAAAATGGCACGAGTGTCGTCGCACGGCCACTGACAATCACGGCACAAGACGCAACAACAAGCGACAAAAGCAACAACAAGACAGAGTTGATTCCACTACAAACGACAACAACCATACTGCGACGAACAACTATTACACCAATCCAGACCATGACACTACAAAACTATCCGAAAAGGGTGTTTCTCGAACATCCTTCTTCACCATGGGAGATGATGGGGCCAACAACAAACACAAAAAGTCCAACAATAAACGACGGAGGAATAAATAATTCGCAAATAGTTTGGCGTAAGTCATGATGGTCGAGCTGTTCTAGCTAGACTACGTTTCGTGTACCGTGTACCGCATTTCCACCGATCGTCGGACAACGCCTGTACTATTATTTGTGTTGTTCACATTCATGGCCCCGTGCAACAAGACTCGCTCCGACACATTCCGTTGTCCCGCCACAAACAGATAAAATGATCCCCACGTCCTACAGGATTCATCATAGACCACCGTTTCATTGCGAATTTGAGCGGCCGTGGCGTGCAACATGTGCGATTGCAATGTCTTGGAGGCAGTCGTTTCCAAAAAGACGAGTGTATTGTCGGGGGGAGTGTCATTCAAGACAAACCAGACATTGATCATGGCAATCGGTGGTACATCATTATTGTCACCGGCTACGATCCAAGCATCATTGTGCAGATAATTGGCATATTGATCAGATGCGTTGCGTAGACTTGGTTTGGCATACTTTTTAATTTTCAATCGATAGTCTTGTTGGTGGTACTGTTTCAATCCAGACTTGTAGAATTGGTATTTGTCGTGTTGCTCAACAAGCACCTGCCGCACGATAGGCAAAAAGACATCATGCAGTCCTCGCAGAGTTTCTTCGCGAATATCTTCACTGCTGACATAGTCCCAGTTGTCATCATCGTCATCGTCATCCTGTTGTGGACTTGTTGTTGCTGTTCCATCAGGATCATCACAGCAGTCTTTTTGGTCGTCGTCGTCCGTGGCTTCCAAACGAGGTTTGACTTGTTCCATGTGCTCTCGTAATGAAATCTCGTTTCCAGTTTCGTGGTCTGTCATGGAAAAATCCTCAAAGTCAAACACTTGCACCTTCTCATGCACATCCTTATTTTGGGTGCCCAGATCTCTCAGGTTTCCCACCACATAGACGGGGCATTCTTCCACAGTGGTCTTACTTTGGCCATTCTCTGTTTCCACTTGCAGTTGGACACCAACTTGGCCGCGCCTTGGACTGGCTACTTTCGATGCCTTGTCTCCATCACTTGTGGCATCATCATCATCAGTAGGATCAGCAGGAGCAGCAAGAGGCATCCTCCATTGCAACCCGATCGAGCGCGGGGTGTTTGGTCTGTAGGCGGTAAAAGTGAAAGTGGGAAAATGGTTGGAGACAACATTTTGCTGACGTCATGCTCATTTTTGTGGGAACCCACGCTTAGCCGCCAGAGCTAAGTGATTTCTTTGAGCTCAATCTGGTCCCAATTCTTTCCAATACTGTAATGGTGGTCGAAGGAGGGGTCAAACCTCCCCACGGTGGCAGTCTCAACTCAGGGGCTATCTTCGTAGAATCTTGCCAAGAAGAAAAGAAAGGATTTCTTACATGTAGTAATAATTTAATTAAGAAGGACTCTAGACCAAATAAACAATTGTAATGAATTACAACTGCAACCGACGGCCTCTGTCAATGCTTACAATTCGACGTCCCCGCTTTCGGGCTACCTCCTCCATCGATTCATGAGTCATGAGGGCTTTGAAGGTTGCCCGAACAACATTGAACTGGCTTCGGTTGCCATGAACAGCCTTGGCGGTGCAGTTGGTAATGCCAAAGTACTTTAAGATTTCACAACTCAGTGGATTTCCTCGTAGGCCTCTGTTAGTCGCCCGCAACACTACTTTGCAGGAATTGGAGCGGCCCACCAAGTCTCGCGTCAACGAGTTGGTTTGGTATCGGTCGACAAAGAAAATGTTCCGCTTGCACTTTCGAGATGCGGCCAAGACAGCGCCTTGTGGATCGGATGCTTTGCCAGTGCCAAACCCACCACAGCCATTGAGATTTCCTACCGACAGAAATAAATTGGAGATGAGCCACAAGGATTTCCATAATATTATAAACATTGCCACAAGACCAACTAACTTACCGCCAACAACCAAGGCACGGTAGCTTGCAATTCTTCCTCCTCTCCAAAGCTTGATGTTTCTATCTACCCGGATCAATAATTCGCCCCTTTTTCACCAAAGACAAAGAAGAGAAATATCAGATGCAATCAACGATACAAATTCCAGCTCAATTTCACACATTGCACATTATTTGTCCATTATTACATACCATTCACCATGAGCAAGTTGATTGGGATTGATTGAAAATCGAGGATCGTCCAGTTCGAAATTGTCTTTTCCTTGGTACTGAAAGGGATCATCGTATGGCTCGAGCCTGAGATCCTTGATTCTTTGTCGTTCTACCATGTCCTCGACATCTTTCAAAAAGGCTTCCTTTTCTTCTTCACTCTGCGTTTCAAAGGACAGGGCACGGCGTTCGCCCACCAAATCTTCCGTCGATCCTTCCGCTGCCGTCAAGTAATCCATATCTCGTAACCAATCTTCGACCGTATCTCGATGTCCTTTTTTCAAATTATAATCTCGTTGCGTCTTGCGAATCGCTTTGGCAAATTCAGTACCCAGCTCGCTGGATAATTCATCAAAGCGATCGGGATCTTTTACCAGCTCAGCCGCTGGTGGTGGGAATGTGAGAGGTGCCTTGGGACCATCGTTTGAGGAGAAAAGACGGACATGACTGTAATTTTTTGGCAATGCTCTAACACTGCGAAATCTACTACTAGCAGCAAACTGAGGTATCCTGTGCAGGAGCGTAGTGGCAGAGCTACGAGGCATCATGGTCGCTTCAATCTCCAACTGCTAAATGTTGTGAAAGGCAAATGGCATGGTGGCACCATGGCGCGGTCTCGTCGCATCGTCTCAACGTCAACCACACAAATCTTGACAGTTCAATTTTTAATTTTCACATTTTTCAAAACAACCAATCGATCCTTCAATCGTCAAAAACAGCATGCAGAATGTCTCTTCTTCGATTGGTCATTCAACTCCCACACAGATCAAGAGTCCGTGACGGCATCAAACATCCATTGAAGCCAGGTACAGGGTCCCGATGGCCTAGCTCGTATGCTGACTGATGACGGGATCGCCGGAACCATTCAAGAGCTAGTGAGCTAGCTGATGGCTAGATAGCTAGGTTGCAGGACTGTAATGGGAGGACGATGAGCAGTGTTGCTGACTTCTTGCTTGAGCTTCTTGCTTGATTTCTTCATACCGATTTGGCTTCGTGCTGGGGTTGCCTGTGTGAATTCAGACAAGGTAGTTCTGTTCAACTAGCTACATGTACATTCAACGTGAGAACAAGTGAGTGTGGTTTGAGTAGATCCTTGCTGTTGGCCTGCACTACTAGCAAGGAGCAAACGACTCCTCCTGGAGATGCAAAATAGTACCGGTAGGCAAGGGCCTTCCAAAATAGCTTGTGCAGCCAGCAGCCATCACCTTTCCTTGTAATCGTCCTACGCACCTCTGGCTGGGAGGCATGCATCCAATGAAGCAATTTGATGGGCTCGTTGCGGCACATACATGTAGATAGTAACAGGTTACAACTTCGACCTCGAAAGCTCAAGCTCAAGCTTCCACGTGATACCGGTAACCAGTAAGTGACCGGAGCTTGAGCATGGTGCCACTTTCAGACACAGCGTCCGCACGCATGACTTTTAAATTCGGAACGAGTTGCCGAATTTAGAATTTAGTACTTTACAGTCAGTTCTTGACTATATTTATATGGGGGTAATACGGATTCCTATAAATATACTAGAGAATATAAATATAGGCTCTATTTACTAGTAAAGTACGCGTGGAGAGTGCCGTCACGTTTTTGTTTGGCAGCCTTTGCTCCCCTAGCCATATTCAATGCCCTTGCAAACCTGTCAAGATGAACGGTGGCAGCCGGGTTCACACCCAAACTGGAGGCACTGAGTGAGAGCTTGTTGAGTGCCTCTATCGACATGCATTGGCATTTACACGTACGTCGATCGATTTGGAGTGTTTGGAATGGATTGCGAGCCATTGTTTTGCTGCTACGAGATTTGCGAAGGGTACGTACACATGCACTGAAGTCAGTCACGGTCACTCGTGACTCAGGGGGGAACATCGAAATTCCATAAATATACTGGAGAATATAAATATACGTTTATAAATATAATCGCGAACACACTGTACGCCCGACGAGTGCTCCGCGTTGACTCTAGGCCTGTAACAATAATTCCCACGCCTTCTTGCGCAAAAGGCTACTCAGTGTGGCGTACTGTACAGGCTCCAATGGTAGAATGACCCTGCCTGGGATGAGTGGAGCTCTGGCACTTCTTCGACAAGAAAATAACTGGATCTACAAGTCCCTATTGCTCGTGTGTACAAGCAAGACCAACACAACAAAAGGTTCACTCCCACTCTAAACGCTACCACAGTCTAGCTAGTAGCTAGCAGCGCACAGTCTGCAGTAGTACGATACCTGGCCGAGTGAGTCGAGTCGGTATCGACGAGTCGGTATCGACCAGTCGGTATCACAGCAGGATTCCCCACACTCTTCACTCCATAAAAATCGAATAAGAACAACAACATCAACACACAATCATCATGACATCTCCAGCAGGACAAGAACAACTCAAGGCTCCGGTCGGTGAGGATTTGACTAGTACTGATTTCACAGCCTCCACTTCTACTACTAGCAATGATGATTCCATGACAGAACGGTTGACCCGAGTGGGGTTTTCTTCGATTCAGATCCGAAGTTTTGATCGCATACTCGGAGATAATCCCGATGTCCGCAGTGGACCTCCACTGAGCATTGGATGGGACTATGAAGAAGGCGATGTGATGGATCTAAATGCCTACGAACTGGGAAAGCGATACAAAGAGGACAAGGCATCGTCAGAAGAGCCAGTCACTCGATTGACCAATGGCACCCGACGCGATATGTTGAGAAAGCTGGGCGTCCGCATCGAGGAAATCATTGAGGCCGAGAATGAAGTCTACCGCATCAAGAAGAGCCGTCAAGAGACCATGAACCAGAGCAAGGTTTACGAGCGCACAGAAGAGATGTTGCAATCTGCCAAGCGGAAGCTCAAGAGAAGATTTTTTGCGCCCAAGAACTCCAACCCACAACCTCTTGCTAAAGCTACCACAGCATGAGACTCAGGAGGTTACGCAAAAACGACAATGGCGGGGTGCACCTAGAAACTTGTACACTAATAACTAATAAAAGCTATAGAGACTATTACATGAAGAATAAGCAACTCAACCTGCTTGAATAGCCACCTGCCCAGCATGCTCGAAGGACGTCAACTGCTTTGGCAGACTCGACTCGTTACAAGAGCTGGCTAGCTCCAGGCAAGCCATCACCAAGCAGGAACCTTTTTTGACCTACCCTTAGCTGGAATCCCTGTACTATGCTGGCCCCGCTTCTGAGCCTGCGCCAAAGTAATCTCCAAAGATCTGGCTACCTAGCCAGTTGCTTCACATCATCAAATGGCGGGGCGGACCTGACCTTAGTTAGGGCCCGGCAGCAACACTTCGTATCAACATGTGATCATCAAATGGTCGGAACAGATAGGGCCTGGCCTGGATCGCTGAACACCTTCCTGGAGTTTGGAAGGCTAGGGAGGTGGTGGAACGTTGCCGCGGCCAGCACACCGAGAAGAAAAAACCATGGAGAAGTACAATAGGAACAGCAAGTGATGCTACACCAACTCTTTAACCGCACAACCCACCCCAGGATGTTTGTTGGCCTTCATCCATTGCATATTTCACTTGGGTTACCTTTTGAACTATCCAGCTGGTACCGCCAGTAACTCTTTGTACCGGTAATACACCATGTACAATGATGCGTTGATGCTCCTTGGGCTCATGAGCAGTGACACAACTTGAAGTCTACTGGATGTGGGTTCTTTTTTTCGCCATTTCTTTTCCCATTTGGGAGCATTCTGTCGCCACTGGCCAAGTCTAAGGTACTGTACGATACAGCTTAGCTAGCTCATTTTGGAGGCAATTAATTGTCGGAATGAAGTTTGAGAGAAGGAGACTGATGATGAGAATAAGAGATAAGAGGCAAGAGGGCAAGAGCACAACATCTCCGAGCTCCGAGATGCCGAATTTGGTACAGTACATCATGGTTATCCTCCACCAGTACTGGTACAACCGGTAAGCCAACCCCTATGAAATTATTAGTTCAAAATGGAACAAAGATTGCGGTACTGAGTAATTGTTTTACTTTTACTTTTCTCCTTAGTAGAACAACTTTATACCTTATCTACCCGAACAAACAACACGAAGATCAGAAAACCATTATTTATGTCCCACCACTTCCTTATACGGCGAAGTGCCATCGCCCGTTTTACTTGACGTAGACTGTACAATGCTAGCGGACCGGTACCGAAGGTGGTCAAAAGAACATTGCATGTAAGAGATGAGGTAATGGTACGTGCTTGGTAATCATTTAGCATCCTTTTTATACCTGATCTACCCATTACAAAGATTATCCGGTGTCAACTATTTATGTCCCACCTTCTGATTTCACAAAAGGTTCGTTCCCAGTGCCCTGGCGCTTTTTACCATGACAAATCTCTAAATCCACACCTCCCGTTTTGGCAAACCAAGACCAACCGGTACATGTACCTGGCAGAGTCATCAAGTTTTTAATCAGTCGGTGGTGCCACCGCTATCAGCAGCCAGTTCGCCCACAGCAAATCCCTCCACCCACTCTTCTTTCCACAAAACTGAACTACATGTACCGGAACAACACAACAAGGCAACTGCAATCATGACATCCCCAGCACAACCACTCAAGGCTCCAGCCATTGAGGATTTGACTAGTACTGATTTCACAGCATCGACTGTTGCTTCGACTGCTTCCACAAATTTTAATGATTCCATGGAACGGTTGACCCGAGTGGGGTTTTCTTCGATTCAGATCCGAAGTTTCGATCGCATCCTCGGAGATAATCCCGATGTCCGCAGTGGACCTCCACTTAGCATTGGATGGGAATATGAAGAAGGCGATGTGATGGACCTAAATGCCTATGAACTGGGAAAGCGATACAAAGATGATGACAAGGTGTCGTCAAAAGAAGAGCCAGTCACTGTCTTGACTGTTGGAACCCGACGCGATATGTTGACAAAGATGGGTGTCCGCCTCGATGATATCATTGAGGCCGAGAATGAAGTCTACCGCATCAAGAAAAACCGTCAAGAGACCATGAAACAGAGCAAGGTTTTCGAACGCACAGAAGAGATGTTGCAGTCTGCCAAGAGAAAGCTCAAGAGAACATTGTTTGCACGCAAGAACCCGAAGCCACAGCCTCTTGCTCACGCCACAACAGCATGAGACTCGACTCAAGAGGCTGCACAAAACGATATTGGTGGTGAGAACCCAGAATCTTGTATAGTAGTAAGAATAATAAAGACTATTGCATGAAGAAAACTCTGGAGCAACTCAACCCACTTGAATAGGTACCTTTCCTCTGTCTACTGACAAGCGTTCTTCAACTGATTTGGCAGACTTGACTAGTTACAAGTACTGAGCTATATAGGCAAGCCATAATCAAGTAGGGATCCCTTCTGACCTGCCCTTAGCTAGCTGGAATCCATGCATGTGGTTATCTGGCCTGCTTTTCTGGCAAGCGGTACCAGCTAGTTCACATCTTGAAAATTGTCCGCATCCATTGGATGACGCAACCGCAAATGTAGTGATTACAAATCCTTATTCTTCTCCGTTGGCAATACAACACGTCCAGCAGGGAATGCCTTGGAGTATGTCATCAGAGTCAAAGGTCCTATGGTCTCTTCCTTGGCCAGTTTGTAGCCGTGCGTCGGGTAGAAATGATTGGCTTGCTCTAGATTGGCAAGCGTCGTTGCCTGTACCCGATATTTCGATGACGCCCGACCAGACACTCGGTAGTCCTCCACGAACGACTCGGCCATTTGCAAGAGCGATTTCCCAATCCCTTGCCTGCGGCATGTCGTTTCCACAAAGAACCGGTGGATTTCAAATGTACTACCGTGTTCGTCCCCCGACTTCCATCTCCGCACCCCAATCCCTCCCACTACTTCCCGTTCCTCACATCCTTGTTGACGTCGATATTGGACTGCCACGAAAAAGTCACCGCCATTCCTTTGATACCATTGTCGTATACTACTAGAAGAGTGACGAGGACGCGTCGATTGTGCCAGTTCTTGCTTCAGGGCCGACTTGACCATTTTTCGGACCGCAGAATGTTGTTGACTCAACTCTTTGTAGGTGTCTTCAAAGATGGTTCGCACGTTGGCTTCATCTTCCTGCTCAATGATGGTTACGTAGCAGCATGTGGCGCTGTCATTATTGTTGTGGTTGTCAACCTTCTTGGTCCACCCTTGGTAGTACCAAGGACACAACCGTTGTTGGACTTGAAACTGCTCGAGGGTCGCGACAGTGTCGTTCTTCATGGCGACGACCAACGTGTAGGAAGCCAAATGCAGTGACAATGCAGCATGTTCATCAAAGAGTTCTCCTGGTGGCACTGTCAGATGAACCGTATTGGGATGTTCCCATGCGGCCCATTGTGCAGCGGTGGCCGCTGTGCACGCATGAGCTTTCGAGAAGAAGCCACAAAGTCGTTGCTCCACAGTGTCAGCGGAAGATCCCAGTGGATGAAACATGGATGGTTGTTGTTTGTGGTTGGTTGTTGTTGAGCGACCCTTTTCCAATTTGGCTTGGAATTGTCGTGTGTAGTGCATTTGATAGGCCCGCACAACAGAGGGTACAGTTGTGGAGTACGTTTTGATTTCCGAGGACTGCTGATCGTTTGCGGTTGGACCCAGGGATTCAAAAGCCACCAATGCACTCCCAGGGCCTGATACAAGATTGTCGGCACACCATTGGAGCACCTGGTCTGTATTTTCTGGTTCTAAATACGCCAGTACAAGCTCAAAGACAACAAGAGTGGGCCTCTCGTTGGAGTGGGCCGCTTTCATGGCTCTTCCCAGCGTGTTGTCCAAGGAGGATAGATCCCTTAGGTCTGCTCCTAGCAAGTGATAGTTGTTGTTGTCGATCTGTTGTACAGGTGCTGTTTGGAGAATGTGACCCTTCAAAACTAAGGAATCGTCCGATTCATTGCCATTGTCATGACTTTCTTCTTCTTTTACAAATTTGCCTTGCAGTAACCGGGATTTCTTGGCCAGTGCAATTTCTGGCACATCCAATTCCCAAATCGAAATGGTCGTCTTTTCTTCGGCAAGACTGCTGGCCCACAACCCCAAGACATCCATGCCACATCCCAAAAAGACAATATTGACGGGTTGTTGTTGTTTTGACTGATGATGAAACGACACAAAGGAATGCACGACGTGTGCTATACTGGCAATGCGCATGGCGTATCCAGCACTGACCAATGGGGACTGTCGAGGAGGTTGTTTGGAGTAGTTTTCTTGGTGCTGATGAGTAGTCGGAAGATTCATCATTCGTTCCATGAGGTTTTCATAGAGAGAGCCATTTTGTGGCATGGGCTTGTAGCCGACTACAATGGCAGACCATTTGGATGACAGAGCATCCAAGGCGGTACGAGTGATGGAGGAGGAGGTTGTCTCCAAGGGTTTCTTATCCGAGGTCATGGTGGTGGATGCTTTGCTTCCTTTTCGTTTAATGAAAACTTGGCCCTCTGTTAAACTCGTTTCCCTTTCTTCTTGGTGTGTTCACCACCGCATTGTTGCCTGAGTGGAGTGACTTCTGTATCTACTGGCACAAAAAGCTCCAACATTTTGGAGGGTGATGGGTGGAAAGGATCTGTTCGAGGATGTTACGAGGTGCAAAATAAAGGATACAAGATGTACTTTAGGGTTAAAGGTTACCAAATCCATCCGTTGGTACTTTGCCATTGCGGCATGCCGAAGTCCTTTTCTCCACCTTTTTCGCATGCAAAACTTCTCGAGAGAGCAGCCACAGCTCCACAGCTGCGACGAAGACGCAGACGGCAAGAGACGCGAAAGCTTCCGCCGAGAGAGCAATCATAGTCTAATATCCGTCTGTCTACCTAGCTAGCTACGACGAGAACAGCAAGAGACTCGACCAGAGCCGTCTGTGTAAGAGCTCAAGCCACGAAGATCCACCACTCACTCCTGCCAAAAGTCTATCGACGTCTTCAATCTTCATTTGTCAGTCATCATGTCGAGTACAGGTACTCCTTCGAAACCCTCCCACAACAAGAGCCACAGTAGCAATAATAAGTCGCTGATGTTCTACTTGGGTCTGATGCTGGCTGGAACGGCCAGTCACTGTTTGACAGGTCTCTTTGGATTGTTGCACTTGCAAGTCTTTTTGGAAGGATACTCGTTGCCCTTGCCCGTCTACAGTGTAGGCTCCACCATTTTTGCCTGCATCAACACGGCCAATGATGTGGCAGGCGCTTGGTTGGTGGATTCCTTGACCAATTGTTGCGGTGGAAAACAGCGACATGAATTGGTGGGATGGTCCGGTTGTCTCTTTGCTCTGTGTTTCTTGACGCCCTTCTTTTTTGGTTCCTCGCTAGTGGGAAGCGGCATTTTTTGGCAAGGCGCTCACTTTGTCACGTCACTGAGTCTCTACGACACCATGTTCTCCTTTCATTGCATTCTGATACATAGTATCCTTTCCGATCAGAGTTCCATGAGTGATGGAGATCGAGTCACATTCCTGGCCACGGAAAAGATTGTCAGCATGTTTGTGCCCATGGTCGTGTCTCGTGCCGCATTGGCCGTCTTTGATACCAACAATCTGCAACCCTTACGAACCTACCTTCTCTTTATTGCTGGCATGGTTTCCATCATGTCCTTGATGGCACAAAAGTTGCTCACTCCAAACATGAACTTGATAGATGCTTGCAAACGACAGAAAAAGTCCAAAGTGGAGGACGATGATGATGATGATGAGAAGATGGAACCATTATTGAAGAAGAATCATGATCATCATCATCACACAACAAGAACCACAACCACCAAACAACTCCACTTTCGACAAGTCGTCCAAGACTTTGTCCAACATTCCAACTTTCGATACTGGATTTGCATGGAAATGCTATTGGAAGGACAAATCGGTTTTATCAGGTCGTTTCTCAAAACGTTTGTCGATCAACTCGTATTGACCAGCACCAATAATGGACGACAAGGAGGACTGTCACGGGAAACCTGCGATTGGTTCTTGTCCAGTCAACCGGCATTGATCACCATCACGTCACTCCTCTTGTACATTCCCATTCGACGCTTTGGATATGCCAAACTATACTCTTTGGTCTTTCTCTGCAACTTTCTCCTCTCTCTGGGCCTCATTCTCTTTGTGGGGGGTGGTCATGGGTGGACTCTGGATTATGTGGATACAAGTACAACAACTCCCATTGTCATTTTCTTGACACTCTACCCCGTATTGACCAGTGCCATTGCCGGCTGTGGGTTTGCCTTGGCCATGGCGGACATGATTTTGGAAATGAAAGTCACCAAGGCTCGGCAAGGACGATGGGACGAACCCTCACTGGCGGGACTCTTTATGGGCGTCAATGCCCTCTTTTGCAAACCCGTCGAATCTGTACTGCCCGTCACTACGGCCACACTCTTGGGGAACACCACCCACGTGCTCCAGCAGGGCGCCGCCGTCCAAACCGTTCTCTTTCGACTCTTGGTGTTGCCACCACTGGTCTGCTCCGTGTTGCAGTTTTGGGCGTGGTCTCATTACGATTTGCATCCTGCCAAAACCAAAGTGCTGCGCAAAGAATGGGAGTCCATTGAAATGACCAAGAACATGGAGGAGGAGAACCAGCAGCAAACAGCTCTCAAAGACGAGTCCGTGGAAGGATTGCTGTCGTGAATGGAGTTGTGAGTGAGGCTGGAAGGGGATCGGACCATGAGAGGCCAAGAATGTATATAATAATCTACCCAAGCTATAGCTATTATAGCTTGTGAAGAAAGGTGCAGAATGAAACATTTGAAATCAGAAACTACAGTACAAGAGGGGTCGAACTACAGCAACGAGGGAACGGCAAATTGACTTTACGGAGGATCAATTTCGATGGCACGCTTCCAGCAGAAACAATTCTGCTGTACTTTACTGAGATAACAAACGGGAATATCTAACTTTTCTCATAACTTATAAAATAATGTCCTAATGTACAACGCGATTGCATCTACGCATGTTTGTTTTGAAAGTGTGGTGTCGCTTTCGTCTAGTCTTATGGAGCTCGCCATTCGCATAAAGTGCGGCTTTTCGTTCCAAGGACTACATGTACATCCTGTGATTCCAGCTACATGTAACTGTTGGTACTGCGCCGCCGTCGTCCCAAGGAGAGTACGTTTACTCAGGCCAATGTCGTTGTTGATGATGAATCTGCCACCAAGAGGTACTTCCACGCCAATGCAAGGATCGCACCAAGGACGGCCAACAGTGGCCACCAGAGTTGTTGTGTCATCGAGGTCGTCTTTTTGTATCGATACCACTTGGTCCGCATAATAAGTGGCAGTCGGTCCATGACGACTTGCGTCCAGAATCCACGTAATCCTGGAACTTGCGCTACGAGCTGGTTGCAATAGATGGAACACTTCATACCCAGGGCATCCTGTGAGGGATCATTGGCTCGCGATTCCCATTCCTGCAACATTGCTTTTTTGGAGGGGAGCGTGGATGGATGCAAGACGGCATTGTGCACAAACCACTGGGCTTGATATTCCATGACAATGGCCGGGGACAGGTTCTGATTGGGAATGCCAATGAATCCCAACGTCGGGTCGTCAATCGAGAGGATGCGGTTGTACAATCGTTCCATTTTGAAGCCATCGGCACGGACAAACGGCATGGCGGGTGTGCTGCTGCTGTCACTGTCATTATTTGGCGGCTGGAAAAAGGGAAAGTAGTAGCGGTACCCCGTGGCAAAGACAATGACATCGGGTCGTTCCGTCGTTTTGGAACTGGTATTGTACTTGTGCGGGTTGTCGGTTGGAATTTCCACAAAATGAAACTCGCCAGTTTCGGGATCGATCCGATCAATGGCGGGACGCAATGACACGGGATACTTGTGGACGAGTCGATCGAGCAATAGATACTGTTGTGGATGATATGTGCGGACAGACACAATGACCTTGGCGCAGTTGCCCCGCTTGGCGAGGATTCGTCCAATGTCGCTTCCCGAAATGCCGCCTCCGACAATGAGGACGGTCTTGTCCTGCCAGGAATACTTTTTGGTGTTGATGGGTGACACAAACGCCGAGGAATGTATCATTTCCCCTTGAAAGCTTTGCAAACCAGGGATCATGGGAGCAAAAGCCTTTCGGAAATGGCCATTGGCGACCAATAAACGGCGACTCGTAAAGATTTGTTTCGATTTCTTGGGTGGTTGGGCCGTGTCGATGGTTTCCACGGTCCACAAGAGTTCGGTTGTCTCCTCCTTGTCATTCGAAGAAGAACTAATCTTGGTTTCTTGCTTGCGGCACTGAACCACCCGTTGACGATACCGGGCGACCTTATCGACCCCATGTGCTTTTCCAAATCGTTGGTAATAGGTGGCCAGAGTGGATGCCTTGGGGAACATGGAGACCGCCACGTCAAAGTCATAGCCCAAAAAGGACGTCAAATCTTTGGGAAAGTTGGCCCGTAGTTCTTCGTAGACGGGTTGAGGAGATGATGGAATGGTGGCCACCAGTGTGTCATCCTTGTCGTCGCGGATTTCACAGGGAACTGTTTCTCGTCCAATGGACTTTCAGGCATGTGCGATTCCACAATCCACCAGGCGAAGATGTCTCTTCCAATACCAAAATGTTACTCACGCCCTTCTCCAACAAAATCTTGGCAGAGATCAAACCCGAAGGACCGGATCCAATGATAATCACCTCATAGGGAGGCTTCTGGGTCTTTTCTTCTTCTTTGTCTTCTTCTTTGTCTTTTGTCTTGGAGGACATTTTGGATCCAAATGTATCGACTAGCGTATCGGAACAAGTTGTTCTGAACTCTACAGACTTTTCTGATGCCAACAACCAAACCAAAAAGCGACTCAAGCCAGTACGGTATCCTATCAGAAAGCCGAATAAGCTCCTCAAAAGTAATGATCCAAGCAAGCAAGCTAGCTACTATAGACTAGTAGCAGACCCCGAGAACGAAATGAACAAGGAAGCGATGCAGGTGCGTGGTACCTGTGCTGCTTTTGGCTACGACTGTACCCGCGAATGCCAAAGCCAAAAGGAAAGAAGTGAGAACACAAAGCGGCATGGACGGCCTCGGCTTCTCACTCAAACAGAAGAAGACAGCAAAGCCATAAAAGATGCAACCGGGGAAACTGTTTTGATACCGGTGCCGTGCACTGCAGTTCCTCCAAAGCGTCTCCACCGTCTACTAGTATGCTTAGACTACTCACTCGTCGTGCAATATTTTAACGCCATTCAAGAAGGGGCCACTTTTAAGGTTAATTGAGGCGTGGTTTTACGCCTGTAAAGCTGCTGGTGCAGGCGCAGAATGCGCCTTCAAAAGACGCCTAGGTATGGGATAAGAGCTTATAAGAGTGCAATTATAAGAGTTCCAAGCTTATACCAAGATGGCGCTCGCAGCGCAACAACCGCCAATAAGTAAATCGCTGAACAGACTCACTGTTGATAGTAGATCGGTAGTCATTGCTGTTGGCATGGACGCATTGCCAATGCTGGGTTTGCCTGCTTCCAAAAGGTGCGATCTTTGTTTCTTGTTTGTCGCTGTTGTTGTTGTTAGAAGTAACTATTCCATTTCGCTCATAAAAAATGCAGTTTGGCTCTATCGATCCTGAATTTGTATTCACTCAAAGGATGCAAGACAACATGTCTTCTGATGCCCTAGATGGGCTCTCGCAGTGGTATGGATCGGAGATCAACAATGGAGCGGGTGAGTATGTAACCCACAAACTTATTACTGCGGCGAAGAAGATCCGGAATGCTCTTATTGCCAGCGAACACCCTGCTTGATGAAAGAAAACTATGACTCGCTCTTTGGAGAACAGGGAGTGGGACCGACACTTGAAGAAGAAGGTAAGGATAAGAAGCAAATTCGCTTTGCTCTTTACCGTGAGGGCTTCAAGCTGTGGAAAGGCTTCACTGGAGTTGGCATTCGATTCAAGCTACCCAAATGCATCGAGTCGGAGATCCACGACCACTACCCTGACGTTCAGTATGTTGGGTTCAAGAGTGGAGCCAAGGGTGGAGACCCTTCTGATACCGAAGAGACCAAAGGAGAGCAAGAAGACGAACATGTCTTCAGTCAGCACTGCTCGCAACCCGAAGAAGAGACATCGAAGGAAGACAGTGACAATGATGAGGTCATGATTTGCAACAAGGCAGGAAGTGTGGTGGCAGTCTGGAAGAATGGCAACGTAACGGAAGTAAGCGAATGTGGGAACAATAACAGCAGTGATGATTCCAGCGACGACGAAAAGCCTGCCAACCCACCTCCCTTGCCACTCGAGCAAGTTCCCATGCGGCTCGAACGAGCATACAAGCGTTTGAAGAAATATTCCGTGCACTCACCAATCGCCCCCAAAAAGTTCAAGAAAAACAACAACGACAAAGAATTGGCGAAGCCCATGGCTGGTTGAGTGATGCATTGACATTGAAATGATTTGGCGAAGCAAACAAACTCAATCGATGGTATATAAATGTTAAGAATTACGTAGTAGTGAATATGGAAGTTAACCGTCCCCATCCTCATTGCCGAAATACTCATCATTCCCTTCTGCATTGTCTCGCTTTCTCTTCCCGGCACGTTCTGGGGGCAAGTTGTGAAACTGTCGAAGCTGTAGTCTAATTGGGTGAGTATAGCTGGGCTCGAAACTGTTTCTTCCCTTAGTCGTTCTCTTCCACAGCTGATACCCTTCCACCGAGTGCATGATCTGGAAACATGAAAGGCCTCGGAATTGATGCAACTGGTGGATTTGGCGATTGGAATCAGTTAGAACAACTGCGTGCGCACTGACGCCACAATCGCTGCAGGTAGCAACATCAGAAGTCATTCCCTTTTCGCCCAGAGACTTTACCCACTGTTGTTCCAATCGACAAACAGAGCATCGTGTGTTGGCTCGAGAAGCTTTCTGTGGCAGACGACTTCTTGCTCCATCTGCAAATTGATATTGAGTAGCTTCTCGCACAACAACTGCAGCTACAGGATTTGCGACGGTGTCTTTGAAATTGAGAAGACTCTGTGCAATGTATTGATAAAACTGTTGCCGTTTCAGCCTTCTCCGATGCAACGCAGCATCCCCACAAGAGAGATTCCATGCAATCAATGAGTTCAATAGCCAACAGTCGACAATTGCCAGGTAGGATTTCTTGTACCACTTTTTGAAGTGGGCTTTCTGCGAAAAGCCACCCTCGTGACCTCTCATTTGATCGCTGCGATCAATAGCACCCATGTCCTCTTGATATTCCACAAGCACAGCAGGACACTCGAAGGTTTCTTTGTTACTCCCCACTTGACGTTGCACGTTCTTCATAGAAGCGTCATTCAAAGTACTAACAACATTGACCACCTTCGAGTCTACCCATTGACAAATTGTGACTCGGTTTTGATCGTCGTATGCAAGGATGGATGTTCCTCGATTGCTGTTCGTCTTCTTCAAGTCAAGTTCTGCTTCTTTCCATCCTTTTCTATTGGTCCGGCAAGTACCAGTACTGTACAACTTGCACTTTTCTCGAAGCATCACTGCCAACTCGGGGCACCGGTATCTATTATCCATTGAGATGTGTCTTGCTCCAGTGTGGCTCTGGTGAAGTTTCAGCGAATAAGCAGCATTGGCGACTGCTTTCTGAGTGGTTGGGAGATCAACAAGATCGTCGTGGATCCCCACATTGTTGCCATTCCTTCCCTGATAAACGTCCAGATGCAATATCTGGTAAGTGCGTGCACAGCTGCAGATGAAGAAATCCACTCTGAATTTTTGTGGTTTGTCTTTGTTGTATTGGCGAACTGGGCAGTATCGAGAGCGACAACCAACTCCTCCCTCATCGAAAGCAAGATCTCTAGGCACATGGAATGTTCGAGAGGAGGCAGCGTTGAATGAATTGATGAGGTGTCGCAATTGATAGCATTTATCCCCTCCAAGTCCGACCGATTTATCTTCAGGATGAAATGCTCCTCTTATCTGCTTGAATCGACTCAGAGTCATGTATTGGTGGGCCCAGTCAGAGCTGCCGTAGATTTCCATTGGTTGTGCCCCTCCTCCTGGTGATATGTACTTGTTCTCTTTCCTGAAGTAAGCCTCGTAACCACCATCATCTACTGGGAACATCGATATCTTTAGCATGATGCCTAGAAATCTGTACATTTCTTCAATAGAAATGTCTTCCCATCGTACACCGTGCCAGCGATTGTTTCGATCTAGATCGATCTTGATGAATCGATGGAAGTAGTCATTTGATCCAGCAGCCAATCGAGCAATCAGCGTTCTGTCTACCCCACTAACATGCTCGAAACAGTCAAAGGGGGTTGTAAAAGGCTCTGCAATTCCATGTCGCAAGCCCTGTGGGCCATCATAAAATCGTTGCATTGTGGAGTCTAGCTGCTTATTTTGTGGATTTTCCACTCTTGCGTATTTCCATTTCAGTTCTCTAATCAAACTGTTCAGAGTTGTCTCACTCACAGGTTCATCTTCGTCTTCCTCCTCTTCATTGGCCTGTTGATGGGGCATTGCATCACTCATTTCGTCATCCCAGGGGTCATCTGGTCTTGTTTCAATGATGTCAGGTGGTTCTTCCACCAAATCTTCTTCCTCTTCGCTGGCAGAGTCTTCTCCCACTGTTGAAACTTGAGTTGTTCGAGTACGTCTACGCGATGACTGGAAACTACCCCGAGAGGACATGGTACTGTGACTTCGACTGCTAAGGGAACTGACTGTTGAAGCAGACGTCCGAATATTTGCCAAAGCTTGTGCCCTGACATGACGCGGCGGTGTGTTTGTTGAGTTGGTAACAAGAGTACCAGCAGCAGCTGTTGTTGAGCTTCTTTTCTTGGCAGTGGTAGCCTGGACATTCTGGACGTTTTGATCACTGTTGGAGGAAACATACCTGACACCTCTTTACTATTGACTCGTGTATTAATCATCTAGTCCGGTTCGCATGTAAATTCATCATGCAAGGAACCAAGGGAGTTTTAGGTCTAAAGTGCTACGGGGGTCCTTATATCCAATTCAATCACAAGAATTGCTATGCACCACCAGAAAATCTCACTTTTGCTTTTCAGCTTAATCTAAAACCAAATTACTCCCCAATAAGCTGCAGTATTACTAGCAACAAACACGAAAAGCAAAAGTCTCATCTCGAGTTCGAAGATCAACACCTCGAGATTGATAATCAAGTTGATACCAAGGACTATAAAGCCAAAGCAAGTGAGTAACACCTGCCACAGAGAAGAGGTGCGCAGAATTGACCTATACCACACTATAAGGCCATCGAAACACCTTTAACAGACAAAACGTCATCAAAGAAGACTGAGAATCCCATTGTCGATCTCCTCAAGTTTCGGCCGGAACTACGGAATCCAGGGTACCAGTGTAAAGAACACGCGATTAAGAGTGATTTCATACTTGAACGAAGGAAATCCGTCTGTTATCCAGTGAGTTATCTTCAATCGCGCGAAATCAGAGTGACACGTCAAATCGGTCGAGCAAGAGCCCATCGTCGCGATCCAAGCTACTGTTTGATCAAGGCGAAATAGGTAAAGAACCAATACAAAGGAAGTTGCGGAACACGAGACAGTGCTCTGGCTATCCTTGGAAGCTTCTAACTCCAGAAATTGAGCGTGATTCATCCAATCGTGTCATCGGTGCTTGTGAGCTTTGAGAGTTCAAATCCCGGTAACGATTCCAAGTACTCGAAGAGGCCAATCTTCACCGTGCACCTGTTTCACGCACTGTAACTCACACAGCGCACTCATCTAAGGATACGCAAGGCATCTGCAAGAGCAGAACACCAACCAAACGGAGACCAACAGAGGCAGTTCGCTACTACCCAAGGCTCCCCAGAAGAACAAGATCCACGTTTACGTGAGCGGTCATCGAGACGAGGCTATTCAGCCAGTACACAAGAGTGCACGAAAAGAAGGCTATCCAGCCAACAAGCTTTACAGGAACTACAAGAGTAGTGCCCGTCGTGAGATCCTTCCTGCAGGAGTATCCACACAAGAACCACAAAGCTAGTTCCAAGGAACAAGCAAGCACAAGAGTGCATTACCCACAACACAAAAAGACCATGAGATTCAAAGGAAGAGGTGGTCGTGGTGGAGGAAGATACCCTTCTAGGGGGGTAGGGGATTCAATTCCTCAGAGAGAAGCCATCAAGAAGAGGAACAGCTACAGGAACCAGAACAGAGTTCCAAGCGTCAGTTCCTCTTCCATCCAAATGGACAGGCTGACACCAGGTATTATCCTTTTGAGGAGACACCTGACACACATTGTCCAGGACCTAAGGATCAACCTGAGTGGAATGATGTGCCCTGCTTCATTGGCAATTGAGACCATGAGCAGTCAGGCACCACAAGCCGGACAAGCCAGACACTCCAGGCATCACTTCTGATCACAAGTGCAAGAGTACGATGCTTTGGAAATCAGTGAGTACAAGGCAAAGTCATCCATGCTAAGACAAGTCGACTACGATCCTATGAGAACATTCTACAAGACTGGTGCAACCACCATACAGGTGACATCTGTACCGAAGCAATGAAGTCAAGTTGAGAGGCCCTCCCAAGACAATGAGGATGCAGTCAAGCTCGACCCCATCGTGATGCTCCAGAGGATCCGTTTGATAGTGATGGAAGGCTCTACAAAAGAGTTCCAATTACTACAATACATCAAGACCCATCCAACGTGGTCTTTTCCCGAAACAAGAGTATCATGACAGAATTGACTACTACTTGAGGAAGGTCGAAAGCGACGTTGATCAAGTCCATGATCTGGTCGGCACGGCGTTCATTGATGTAAGAAATCTGAACTCAGACGACTACAAGGCCGCATCTGGACCAGACGCCAAAGACAAGGTGTTACTTGCGGGACAAGAAAGGTTGAAGGCAACCGTAGCCTACCATGGACTACAAGAGGGAAGTTATGGAGATTACCAGAAGAACGTTGAGGAAGCCTATACCATGAACGGTACCATCCAGTTCCCTGATACCCTTGACCATCTTAGAGAGACGCTGTCCAATGACAGATTCAAGCCCAGAAGGAATGGTTGGACCAACGGAAGGGCAAGGACCGGAAGCCATATCCAATCCCAGCCACTCCTTTGATCAAGAAGATGAAGGAGAGGGCTCCCAGCTGCCTGTCTTCTACTCAGCAGTCCCCAGCAGGGGAAGCTTGCTACCTGTTGTGGAAGCACAGATCACAAACTTCCGCAGTGCAAGGTGATGTCGAAGATCCCCAAGCCCGAGTGGGCAATCAACAGATTCAATGGCATGAAGAAGTCCTTCATGCCACAGTACCAACAACACCAGTTGCAGCTACTCCAAGGAGTGGCCACCACAGTGATGTTGACGGCGCCAGCTCCAGGTCCAGCTGGAGACTCTTCGAGCAGGAGTGGATTCAGTGGAGTCCCTCCACATCCTACGAGCCAGTCGAATTTCCAGCAGTTTCCCATGTCTAGCCAAGCCTCCCAGGCCCACGCGGCAGGGTCTTCACTACAGTTCCCTTTTCAGCACCATCAAGTCGATGGAGTTCCGCCCTTGATGGGCAGAGATGATTCAACCACCGACAGTGAGCCGTAAGCTTCCATCGACTGGGAGCATTCGCTACGCTTTCCTTGGAGGCATCCCTCTTTACGCAGAGGAGTGGAAGCATTATGAGACATCATCCGAAGAAAGATATCACTCTGGCTACGGCCAGGATCAGCTCGCTGAGGGAGGTCCTGACGTTGTAAGCATCGGATCCGATCTTATCCTTCAGCGGTACAATGATACACATAATATAATAGTCAGTCGTTCTGCCCACCCTGACACCGTCTTCAACACAGATCCATTCGAAGGTGTCATCCCTCGGAGTGGCTAAGACGATGATCAGAGCTGCTGTACCGACTACAGCTCAGATAAAGAGAATGAATTTCGTTCTAGTACAGTGGACCCAGTCGGCGTCAGTGGGAAAATCAGCGAGGCAACTGTTATGGAGATTTCCAAGACCAAGACTCCCTCTCAGTCGAAGAACAGAACCATCACATTGCGTTTGAGTTCCCAGGAGGTGGGCAGATGCCAGCAAACTCACAGGAGTGTGCAGAAGCCAAATCTTGCAGGAAGGTCGGTCAAGAACCTCATCCCTGATGGAGCCAACACAGTGTATCTCGACAGTGGCAGTTCAATCCGAACTGCCATGAACCAGGACATGATTGTCCGCAAGCGTCTATCTCCCAGACCAATCGAGATGGCCACGAATGTTGGAAGCACCAAGCTTACTCAAGAAGGAGACACACCTTACGGCAATGGTTATTCAATCCAGGAGGCATCGCCGATATCAACGCTTTGTCTCTTGTTGGTGATGACTGCGTCAGGGCACAGGATGGATCCTATGGCCTCATGGACTCAAGAGTCGACGACGCCATCTACCACTACGGCCCAACTGGGATCCATACAGGTATGGAAGGACCGACAAAGGTATGTATGGCGTGCTGATTGAACAAGACCTACTGGATCACATGGCACAACTCAACCATTTTTCACCTGAGTTCCAGAATTTGGTCAAGACGGTGGAGGGAAACCTCGAAGGCTTTACCAAGAAACAAGCCAAGGGAGCATTTCTCGCAAGAAATCTTTACCACAACCTCCAGCGCCATCTTTGGAGGGATAAAAAGGCAACATGATCAGGATTGGTCAAATTCGCGACTGACCCGTAAAGCTGGAGGACAATCCGATCGCGCCGAATTATTTTCGGGAGCGAATGGCAAAGGCCAAAGGGCTTACTACACGCAGACGCCCGCCACCAGTGACTGACAGTATTCATACTGTTACGGATGAGCTGGTGGCACCACACATGTTCCTTACCGGATGCATGGATGTGTTTAATGTCTGTGAGATTGCCTTTATAGCATTCACTGACTTGCAAATCCGACACCGCGAATCAGCCTACCTGAACCACAGGAAAGGAAAATCATTCTATGGCGCCATTGACAAGATTTTTGATCGGTACCGAAATAATGATTTCAAGATCCAAGCAATACAGTGCGACCTGGAGTTAACGAGCCTGATGGATCCTGTCAAGAACGACATGGAGCTCAAGCTAAACCATGGAGCGGCTCAGACTCACAGTGGTCCCGGCGAGCGGAACATCCGAACTTTGAAGGAGCGCATCCGCGCAGCCTGGCATTCAACCCCGTTCCTGGTGATGCCAAAGGTGATGATTTTGGAATTGGTGTACGATGGTAATTGTAAACTCAACCTCTTCCCCGCGCTTGATGGAATCTCTAATGTGTATCCTCCCAGGCAGATCCTGGAGGGTCGGACCACAAGCTACAAGATATTCAGTCAACTTTTGGGAGCTATTGTCTTGCTTCCAACGAACCAGACAAGCTCAATTCCTTGGAGCCCAGGCGATTGGATTGCATCTATCTCCATCCATTGATGGACAACAACAAAGGTGGACACAGTGTGATGGACCTCGTCCCCTTTGAGGTGATCACGCGACAGCATGTCCGCATCCTGCCGATGCCTCGCTCAGCAATTGATGCTGTCGAAAAGAAGCCATACGGTGAGGGTAAGAAACCACTATTCTTTCACAACCGTGACTTGTGGAATTTTTACCTGTAGGTTTGCCTGCAGGAGTGGAATGTGTCAATGGAAATGAGAGCTACCTCCAAGTCTATGAAGATGAAGACTCTTCGGACGAAG